CTCCTCCTCCTCCTCCTCCTCCTCCTCCTCCTCCTCCTCCTCACTGCTTCTTCAGGACAGAGAAAAACGGCCCCCTCCCGAGGCCACCGCGGCCGATGTGAAGCGGCGGCGCACGCCTCGCCTGGCGCGCGGCCTCGCGCCGCGACACCAGCTCCAGGATCTCCGGTTCGGAAATCTCGGCGCGCGGGAGCTCCGAGCTGGAACGGAGGGCCCCTCGACGATGATGGCGTCGCCGACGACGGCGGCAGCAACGACTACGGCAGCTCCGTTTGGGGATGCTTCGGAAATTTCTCGGGCCCCGCTGCCCTTTCCGTCGGCTGCGCCTCGTCGAGGCGCGGTTGGTGGTGCCAGCATCGTCCCACTGCCCGGGGCCCGAATTTTGGCCCGAATAACTATGGGCCAAAAACTCCGTCTTTCCATCCCTCCCTCTCCCTCCCCTGACACCTCCTCCACGTCCTCTTCCTCTTCTTACTCCTCCTCCTCCTCCTCCTCCTCCTCCTCCTCCTCCTCCTCCTCATCATCATCATCATCATCATCATCATCATCATCATTGTATTCCTCCCCCTCGGACTCATAGTAATATTCTGCCTTCCGGATTATTCGCACCATTAATGGTAGTAGTTATAAATATACGAATAATACATACATGCAGTAAAATAATAATAAATGCCCTAAAATAATACTTATAATGCTAATAATAGTAATAATAATAATGGTTAAATACGGATAATAAGACTACTAGTACGTATATTCGTGTGATCCATATAACTAATAATGTTAGTAATATGATGATTAGTGGTAGTGTTCGTATTGGTATTGTTGTTCATGTTATGAATATGATTGTGAATGTGAGTAGCAGAATTCGCATTACTCGTATGAACAGTATCGTCGTTATCCCTAGTATTTGTAGAACGATGCGTAAAAGTATTCGTATTATTATTGGTACGATTATGAACATTCGGCATTCAAAGTAGTAGTAGTAGTAGTAGTAGTAGCAGCAGCAGTAGTAGTAGTAGTAGTAGTAGTAGGAGTAGTAGTAGGAGTAGTAGTAGTAGTAGTAGTAGTCGTAGTAGTAGTCGTAGTAGTAGTAGTAGTAGCAATCGTAGCAATAGCGCTCGCATGCTTAATACGTATAATCGTATGTTCATGTACAGAAAAACTATTCGCCTTGCGTTGAAACTTGTATTTCTCATCGTTGTACTACTATCATCATTCGCGTGATGGGTATTATTATTCGCGTGTGCATTCGCATCCGTATATTTACGAAAATCAGTACCACAAATATCGGTAATCGTTTGGATAGTATACGCAGCCAAACCATAAATAATAATACTATTATTGGTAATGATATCATTAGTGGTACTAGGACAATTGATTCTCAGTATTAATCATATTATTGTTCGACTTCGTACCGCTACTCTCATTATGAAAGTATCAGTATCATTAGTAGCCGAATCCTTCATATTATCAACCATAAACGTATTCGAATGATACATCCACCGACCTTGTCGGCGTGTGGAAGACGCTGTTCGGTTCTTCTCTTCTTCCTCTGAAACTGTCCTGACGGATGGGTCAGAAACGACGCCCTCCCGAGAGCGCGCAAATCCGGCGGTTCCACCAAATTCCAGAAACACGTCAAAGGAAGGCTCTTCTTTTTCATCCCTTCCCGCTGGGGGGGGGGTCCCGGGGAAGTCCTGGGTCAGAAATGTTTCCCCCCAAGGCGGTTCGGCCCTGGCCCCAGCCCTGGCCCCTGCCCTGGCCGAGCTCCGGCCCTAACCCCGGTCCCTGGCCCCGGCTCCAGGCTGGTCCCGGTTCCAGCCCCGGCCCCGGTCCAAGAAGCCCGCGAATCCCGCGGTTCCACCAAATTCCGGAAAGACGTCGAGGGAAGCCCCTTCCCTTCCATCCCTTCCCGCCGGGGAGGGGGGCGGGGGGTCCCGGGGAAGTCCCGGTCCAGATACGCTTCCCCCCCGGGCGGTTCGCCCTTGGCCCTAGGAGATTCGGTCTCTGTTCAACCCGAACAACACTTTACAACCGAGATAAATCACTCTAAAACAAGCAAAGGATCGATTTCCGTGGTTTTGCTCCGAAAACGGCCACTTTACAACCAGAACAGCCTACTTTACAACCAGAACGACCACATTACAACCCAGACTGGGCTCTTCACATCCAGAACGGCCAATTTACAACCAGCCTTCAGAAGCGCGCGCGCGCTCTGCAGGGGCTTCTGAATTTCTGGGCGCCTGAACGCTCTGCAGAGGCATCTGAGCGCCTGAGCGTTTTGCAGAGGCTTATGAGCGCCTGAGCGCTCTGCAAAGTCTTCTGAGCGCCTGAGCGCTCTGCAGAAGCTTCTGAGCGCCTGAGCGCTCAGCAGAGTCTTATGAGCACATGAGCGCTCTGAAAAGGCTTCTGAGCGCCCAAGCGTTTTGTAGAGGCTTCTGAGCGCCTGAGCGCTCGGCAGAGGTTTCTGAGCGCTTGGGCGCTTTGCCAGAGGTTTCTGAGCGCGCGGGCGCTTTGCAGCAGAGGCTTCCGAAAGCCGAACCGCTATGAAGCATTTGCGAAGCGAATACAAATACTACTTGCGATGCCCAAACACACAATTTGAAATCCGCATGCATTGGCTAGAACTCAACACACGATTTCTTACGCGCTTTCCGCCCTCCTGGGTACGCATGCTTCCGCAATTGCGCAAACATACGGTTTTGCGATTGCCAGGCGATGGGGCGCGAGGATAAGCATGGCCTATGAGGCAAAGCACAAAGTTTGAAATCCAGACGCATTGGCTAGAGTTTTACACACGATTCCTTTGCCACATGTCGGCCCTCCTGGGTACGCAAGCTACCGCGAACGCGTAAACATGCGGTATTGCGATTGCCAGACAATGAAGCACGAGGACGGAAGTTGCCTGTGAGCCCGAAAACAACACTTCGGCATCCACACGTAGTGGCTCGAATGTTATCATGGATTTCACCTTCCTGGGAGCACATGCTCGCATTCGAGAAAACATACGGTTTTGCGATTGCCAGACGATGGGGCGCGAGGATAAACATGGTTTATGAGGCAGAGCACAAAATTTCAAATCCACACGTATTGGCTAGAGTGTTACCGTCGACTTCGTTTCCACATTTCGGCCCTCCTGGATACGCATGCTTCCGCGAATGCGAAAACATGCGGTATTGCGACTGCCAGACAATGAAGCGCAAGGACGAAAGTTGTCTGTGAGCCCGAAAACAACACTTCGGCATCCACACGTAGGGGCTCGAATGTCACCATCGACTTCTTGGTTAAATTTTCGCTTTCCTGGGCGCACATGCTCGCACATGAGAAAAGATGCGGTTTCGCGATTGTGAAGCGATGGGGCGCGAGGACAGACATGGTCTATGATACAAAAAACTTGGCTAGAGTGTTACCGTCGATTTCGCTTCAACATCTCCGCCATCCTGTGTACGCATGCGACAGCGAATGCGAACACACACAGTTCTGCGATTGCCAAACGATGAGGCGCGAAGACAAACATTGCTTGTGAGGCCGAACACACAAATTGAGATCCACCTGCATCGGCTAAAACTTCACCATCGATGCCTTGCCAACATGTCCGCCCTCCTGGACACGCATGCTTTCGCAACTATGAGAAGAGAACGTGTTTTTGGTTGTGCTATTGTCAGTCGATGAGGCTCGCTGACAAACACGGTTTTTGATTCAGACAACAATCACTTGAAATCCACATGCGTCGGCTAGATAATTGCCAATGATTTTCTGGCCACATGTCCGCTTTCCCGGGTGCGCATGTTTCCGCACATGCGAAAACATACGTTGCAAGAGGTCGGATTTTCAGGCAGAGGTCATGAGGCTCCAAAAGACGATGTAGGTTTAGGGCATGGATGAAAAGAACAACTTAAACCACCCATGCCTGTCACCAGCCCGTAGCGGGAGGATCTCTGTTGGAACTCAATTCGGTTCGAATAGCTCCTTCGGGATTCCACAAGGAGGACAATAGGACGCCAATCGGGGCACACTATGAATGAAAGAGGACACGTTTCTGTTGACTTACAGTTGGCTCCTTGTGTAATCGAAGCAACATGCCCGCATGGGTCGAAGAGGAAGGGTTCCGATTGCATTCCAACGCGATATCTGTCGCATTCGACAAAATGGTTACGATGGGAGCCCAAGAAGGACGCATCCTATTGTTTCCGAGTGAGAACCCACATGAATACCCACCCGGCTTCCACATAGCACCCCCTGTGCGTTTTCCCCAGCATTCCAATGGGAATGTTTCTCGACTGTAATCCCTCTTGTTTCCAATCGGTTTCCTTCAGAAAAGGGCACCAACGGGTTTCAATCGGAAGCAGCCCACTGGATTCTAAGAGGACGCCTGTAGGCCCCATATCGAGGAATCTTGTCGGATACTCATGAATGGGATTCACACGGTGCCAACAGGATCCCAATGGGAAGGGTGCCAAAAGGATTACAATAGGACTCCTGCTGGATCGCAGTAGGAGTCCGCCATTTCACAGATTCTCGCTTCACACGCGTCACTTTACAAGCAACACCCTTCAGAGAGGGAAGTGTCTCCCTTAAGTGGACCCACAGAGATTTCGGAAATTGAAGACCATGCGTCGCTGAAGTGCGCTTACTCGCCTGGTTGTAACGTAGCTTTCCTGGTTGTGAAAAGCCCTTGTTGAAAGGTTGTAAAATGCCCCATCTGGTTGTACAGTGGCCGGTCTTGTTGCAATGTGACCCGCACGTCTGGCCCTAGCCCTGGCCCCAGCCCCAGTCGGGCTCCGGCCCTGACCCTGGCCTCTGGCCCCAGCCCCGGCTCCGGCCCTGGCCCCAGCCCCAGCCCCGGCCTCCCTCAGGAAGGCGGCCAATCCCGCGACTCCACCACATTCCAGAAAGACGTCGAGGGAAGCCCCTTCCCTTTCATCCCTTCCCGCCGGGGAGGGGGGGGTGAGGCCCCAGGGAAGTCCTGGGTCAGAAATGCTTCCCCCTAAAGCGGTTCGGCCCTGGCCCAAGCCCCGGCCCCGGCCCTGGCTGGGCCCTGGCCCTGACCTCGGGCCCCAGCCCCGGCCAGGCCCCAGCCCCGGCCCCAGCCCGACGTCGATGGAAGCCCCCTTTCATCCCTTCTCGTCGGGGAGGGGGAGGGAGCCCCGGGGAAGTCCTGGGCCAGATACGCTTCCCCCCGGGGGCGGTCCGGCCCTGGCCCTGGCCCCAGCCCTGACCCCAGCCCCCGCCCCCGGCTCCGGCTCCAGTCCTGGTTCCAGCCCTGGGCCAGCCTCTCCCAAGAAGCCCGCGAATCCCGCGGCCCCACTAAAGTAATTCCAGAAAGACGTCGAGGGAAGCCCCTCCGAAGTCCCGGGTCAGATACGCTTCCCCCCATGGTGGTTCGGCCCTGGCGCCCCACCCCTGGCCACGGCCCTGGCCGGGCCCCGGCCCTTACCCCGGCCCCCGGCCTCGGCTCCGGGCCCGGTCCCGGTTCCAGCCCCGGCCGCGGCCCAGGAAGCCCGCGAATCCCGCGGTTCCACAAAATTCCTCAAAGACGTCGAAGGAGGCCCCTTCCCTCCCATCCCTTCCCGCCGGGGAGGGGGGGGGAGGGTCCCGAGGGTGCCTGGTGGCACCTTCCCAGGCCTCCGACGGCTCCGATGTTCAAGACGTCAGCACCCAGTGCTCCCAAATCCTTCCCAGGGCTGGCCTCTCCTGAGTGTTTTGTACGGTCTCAAGTCATCGAGACGGCGTCTGGATGCCGAAGCCGAAAATTCACACAGCCTGAAGCCGACAAAAGGCCGGCAGCGGACTCACCCAGCTCAGTGCAAGCCCAACTCAACCACCTCGGAGAATCTGCGCTGCAGCTTCTTCTGGGGGGGGGACCCAAGCCTGGCTGGGCCAACGTGCGAGGCCACCTCCAGGGCCGCGGCCAGGCCCCCGAAGCCAGCACAGCCCAAATCTGGCTTCGCGGGATCCTGCGGGATTCGGCGCTCTGGCTGGGCCCCGTTGGCGCGGAACCCCGTTGCCAGCTCGCTCAGACCTCATCATGCCTCTATCCGACGGCGAACCCCAGGGGGGAAGCGACAGAGAGGAGGCATGCCTTCTCGGAAGGAGGGCGAGGCTTCCCAAAAGCCCTCGCGCCTGCAGAGAAACCTTGCGAGCCTTCTCCGACGCCACACACGGCTTCCCAGAGGTCCGAGGGCTTCAGAGAAGAGAAGCCCCGCCGCCTTCTGAAAAGGCATGCCCCCTCTCGCCTCACCCCTGGGCTCCCTCAGCAGCCTGACCGGGTCTACTGGGTATCGCCTGTGTGGTCATAGGATGGGTATCGCTCCGCGGTTGCGGCTGAGCTGGGGGAGGTAGTGGCACATGAGAGCTGCTCGCCATCGTCGGCTATAGTGGCCTCCACGGGGACCCCAGTGGCCAGTAGCGCAAGAAGCCACTGGGCCTCGGTGGGACTGAAGGGGAGGCTGTGATGTTGATTAGGTTTCTGTGGCTGGCCGAGGCGCAGCCGTAGGAGGGTGTCCGATGACGTAGACAGGCGAAGGAGGAGCCGGCGTTGCCGCTGAGGTTCGCTCCTTCGCTTAACCACGACAGGGACGGATGAGCTCTTTCCTCAGGGCGCCGCATGTTGGGCTTGAGCCGGAGTGCAGCGTCACGGCGAAAGGTTGCCTGAGACTGCTACCTCACTTAGTGGGACTGCTAATCTAGAGTGCAAAAATACATAGCCACCCATCCCTGGAGGCGACGTTGCCGCTAAGCCTCCAAGGATCCTAAGACAGATGAAGGTGCCCCGTTAGACTTGCACTAATGAAACAATATACACAACAGAACTGCGTTAAAACTGTTAAAGGAACTTCGGGACATTACCGAGGGGAGACCCCCCCCACCACTTTTGCCACGCGCCCTGGCGTCGGGAACTGGGACATTACCGAGGGGAGACCCGCCCCACACTTTTGCCACACACCCTGACGTCGGGAACTGTACACATGCTCGCGCTGACTATGTCCCCACTCCTGCCGGCACGAGCCGCGGCGCTCGCAACGGGATGCCGTCCACACCACAGCGAATTAATCGACTGGCCCGGCTGGGAAGCCCGAAGCGCCCCGAATCGACAGGGCATGCTCCGCACCACAATAATTACGACCTGATGGGTCAGGAAACTGTCCTCTCAAGATCACGCTGTTTTTCGGCATGCCAGCCAACCTGCTATCGCACAGCACAGCGGCATAGAGGCAAGCATACAGCGAAAGCGAAGGGGAGAGAGGAGGAGGACGAGGAGAAGAGGGAGGTGTTGGTGTGCTAGCGCCAAATCGATTGCACAGCTCCCCGCCAATTCATGAGCGCCTTGACTGCACACGCCGACCCCAACTCCAGGGCCCGAGTGGGCCAGGCCGTCCAGCGTCGAATCACCGCCGGCGTCCCGCCAATGCTGGGCCTCCTCTGCTGATGACCTGTTTCGCCGCCCAGTGCCCCCTCTTTCGGCCGCGTACTCCTCCTCCTCCTCCTCCTCCTCCTCCTCCTCCTCCTCCTCCTCCTCCTGCTCCTGCTCCTCCTCCTCCTGCTCCTCCTCCGCCTCCTCCTCTCCTCCTCCTCCTCCCTCCTCCTCCGCCTCCTCCTTGGTGGCTCCTCCTTCCCCCTCCTCCTCCTCCTCCTCCTCCTCCTCCTCCTCCTGCTCCTCCTCCTGCACCTTCTCCTCTTCTTCCCTCTTGCATGGTGGCCCAATTCGCTTCAACGGCATCTCCGTTCAGATCTTTCCGCTAGCGCAGACGTCCCCTGGCTCGCCGCCGACGCAAAAAGTGTCGTCGCCCGGCATCTTCAGCTTTATCGTCACTCCTGAGTATTCTTCCTCCTCCCTCCTCGTCCTCGTAATGCCCTGCAGCCACCGTGCGAATGCATCTTCCAGCACCAGCACAGCAGTCGAGCTCCCCGACAGAAAGTGAATTTGAAACTTGGCGCCCTGCATGGGCCTTCAGGCGACTGGTACTGTGTTCGTTTAAGGCTTGCATCTGGTATAGAGACGCGATACGCAGCGTTTCGCGTCGGGACAACCACCCTCAGCGTAGATGTCAGAGTCACTTTCGATATCATATTGGGTGCTGATGTCGCCGTCACCGCCACAGCACTGCAATCGAAGTACTCCTCCGAATGAAC